TGTTAACATTTGGCCCCATTTGCTTTATCCCACACTATACTTGCTTTTTTTGTTTCACTGAGCCATTTGAAAGTAGCAAGACATCATGACACATCAGCATGAGTCTCCTACATAACCACAATGCCATTATCATACCTAAGGATATTAACATGACTTCATCTTCACAAACTTCCCAAGTTTTCCCCAAAAACGTCTTACAGCTTTATAGTTCACCACATCCCAATCAGATGAAGGTTCATTCATTGTACTTAATTGTTATGTTTCTTTTAATCCATAATAGTCCCTCATCATTTTTGTTTGTTTTCCAGGACATTTGTTGCCCTGGCCAGTTGTTTTGTGAAATGTCTTCTTTTTTGAATTTGAATCATCATGTTCTCATAGTGTCATTTAAAATGTCTCTAGATTTTCTTTCTGATAAACTAGAAGTCTTAGCTTGATTAGATTCAAATTAAGTATTTTGAGGAAGAACTCTTCATAGATGATGATGTGTATTTCTTACTGAAAAACACAATGTCAGGCTGTCCTGCCTTCAGTGATCCTAAGTTTGATTGGAGTGATCACCAAGTCTCTGATGTAAAGGTTTTTTTTTTTTAAGATTCTATTTACTTATTTGAGAGAAAGAGAGGAAGAGAGAGCAGAGTGGGAGGGAGGGAGGGAGGGAGGGAGGGAGAGAGGGAAGGGCAGAGGGAGAAGCAGGATCCCTGCAGGGAGCCTGATGCAAGTGAGACTCGATCCTAGGACCCCAGGATCATGCCCTGAGCCATAGGCAGGTGGTCAACCACTGAGCCACCCAGGTGTCCCACAAATATCCTATTTCTTTTTTAAAAAAGATTTTATTTATTTATTCTTGAGAGAGAGAGAGAGAGAGAGGCAGAGACACAGGCAGAGGGAGAAGCAGGCTCCATGCAGGGAGCCCGACGTGGGACTCGATCCCGGGTCTCCAGGATCATGCCCTGGGCTGAAGGCAGCGCCAAACCGCTGAGCTACCCAGGCTGCCCCAAATATCCTATTTCTTAGCAACTTTTACCCCAATAGTTTTAGCATCCACTGATAATCTTTACTGAATTAATTATTACCTTGGGGATTAGAAGATGGTGATTTTCAAAGTCTAATCATTCCTTCTACATTTATTAGCTCACAGTATTCTGTAAAGAGCAGAAGATCTTTCCTTTATTTCTTCCTCCTCCTTTTTTTATCACTATGGATGCATGGATTTCTGTTGTTAAATCAATTCTCTTCATTATTCTTTGTTATACCTAAATTATCCCAAATTTGGCCAGTGGAAACAGATTTAAGCTTGTTCTTGTGACCTTTTGGCATGACCTCATTAGTCATTGAGTACTTCCTATGGATATCTCTGGTTTTATAAATTTTTTTAAAAAAATTAAATTTATTTATTCATGAGAGACACACACAGAGAGAGGAGGGGAGAGACAGGCAGAGGGAGAAGCAGGCTCCATGCAGGGAGCCCGATGTGGGACTCATCCTGGGTCTCCAGGATCACGCCCTGGGCTACAGGTGGCACTAAACCGCTGAGCCACCCGGGCTGCCCTATCTCTGGTTTTAAAAGTTAATTATATGATGTTTATTTGCTGAAATTCCTGTAACATTGGCCCATTTATTTTAATTCTACTTTTTTTAGTTCTACTTTTACCTCTTCCATGTGGAATGTTGTATTAAACACAGATATTATATTTGGGGTTGGAGCATTTCTATGAAACTACTCCACTAACATTGCATGAGCACATAAATCATTAACTTAGACCTACTCATATACTCACTTCATCCCTAACCTCACACATTAGGATGTCCATTACACTTAATATTTGATTCAATTTCTGAAACCTCTTGAGAGTTTATTTTTTTAAATTTTATTTATTTATTCATGAGAGACACACAAAGAGAGAGAGAGAGAGAGAGAGAGAGAGAGAGAGAGAGAGAGAGAGAGGTACAGACACAGGCAGAGGGAGAAGCAGGCTCCATTCCATGCAGGGAGCCCGATGTGGGACCGGACCCCGGGTCTCCAGGACCACATCCGGGACTGAAGGTGGCGCTAAGCCACTGAGCTTCCGGGCTGCCCTTCTTGAGAGTAAAAAGGCTTATTTTCAAGGTTCCATCAGAATGCTCCCATTTCAAAACAGTTGTATCAAACAAGCCAGGACACTTGAAAAACTATAAAACACTGATGAAAGAAATTGAAGATGAAACCAACAAATGGAAAGATATGCCATGCTCATGGACTGGAAAAACCAATATTGTTAAAACATCCATATTACTCAAAGCAATCTACAGATTTAATGCAATCCCTCTATCAAAATACTAACAACATTTGTCACAGAACAAGAACAAATAACCTTAAAATTTGTATGAAACCACAAAAGACCCTGAATAGCCAAAGCAATCTTGAAAAAGAATATAACTGGAGGTATCTCAATCTCAGATTTCAAGATATACTACAAAGCTGTAGGTAATCAAAATAGTGTGGTACTGGCACAAAAATAGATCAATAGAACAGAATAGAATCCAGAAATAAATCCACACATATATAGTCAACCAATCTATGACAAAGGAAGCAAGAACATACAATGGGGAAAAGAGTCTCTTCAACAAATGTTGCTGAGAAAACTGGACATTGAAAGAATGGAACTGGACCACTTTCCTACACCATACACAAAAATAAATTCAAAATGGATGAAAGACCTAAATGTGAGACCTGAAACTGTAAAACTAATAGAAGACATAGGCTGTAATTTCCTTGACACTGGCCTCAGAAACTTTTTCTAGGCATGTCTCCTCGGACAAGAAAAATAAAAGCAATAAAGTTAAAAGTTAACCTACTGAATGGGAAATGATACTTGCAAATGAATATCTGAGAGGGGGTTAATATCCAAAATATATAAAGCTCTTATGCAACTCAACAGCAAAAAACCAAATAATCCAATTAAAAATGGGCAGAGGACCTAAACAGAAATTTTCCCAAAGAAGACATACAGCTGGCCAACAGACATGTGAAAAGATGCTCAACATCACTAATCATCAGGGAAATGCAAATTAAAACCACAATGAGATATCACTTTATACCTGTCAGAATGGCTAAAATAGAAAACACAAGAAATAACAAAATGCTGGTTAGCCAAATTATGGAAGCAAGCCATGTCCATCCATAGATGAATGGATAAAGAAGGTGTGGTGTGTGTGTGTATACACACACAATATACAAATATATCCATATACACAATGGAATATTACTCAGCCATAAAAAAGAATGAAATCTTACCATTTCCAACATGGATAAAGAAGGGAGGGAGGGAGAATGAAATCTTACCATTTGCAACATGGATAAAACTAGAAGGTATAGTACTAAGTGAAATAGGCCAGCCAGAAAGAAACAACTGCCATATGATTTCATTCATATGTAGCATTTAAGAAACAAAGAAGAAAAGACAAAAAGCCAGACTCTTAAATACAGAAAACTGGTGGTTGCTAGAGAGGAGGTGTGTGGGGATGGAGGTCAAATAGATAAAGAAGATTGAGAGTACACTTATCTTGGTGAGCAATGAGAAATGTATAGAATTGTTGGATCATTACATTGTATATCTGAAACTAATGTAATATTGTATGTTAATTATACCTCAATTAAAAAAGTACCAAGTCATAATTTCCAGTATATATTCTAGAGTAGATTTATGCACTGAGTTAGAGCAAGTCCCTCATACTGTTACAGTAACCACAAAGGTATATGAAATACTATATTAATGGCTGAGTCATAGCCAGCATTAGTTATTAAAATGATCCCAACAATCTTCCAATATTTTTTTAAGATTTATGTATTTATTTTAGAGAGAGCAAGAGAGCACGCACGTAGTGGGGCAAGGAGAGAGAGAGAATTTCAAGCAGACTCCCTGCTAAGCACAGAGCCAGACACGGGGCTCAATCTTACCACCTTGAGACTGTGAGCTGAAATTAAGAGTCTGACACTTAACTGACTGAGTCACCCAGGCGACCCTCCTCCAACATTTTCATATAGGTTTTGCAGTTATTACAACTTATACATAAAAAGCATATAAATGTAGATGTGCCATCTTTTTAGGGTATACTCAATCTGCACTGCATATTATTCTACATATTTGCTCAGGCAAATAAAGAGAAGCCTGATGAGCCTTGAGCAAACAATGTCCCTGTTCTGACGGATAAACAGAACTCTGTCCCCTAGAATCAGTATACCATCAAATACATATAGGCAGGGATGCCTGGGTGGCCAGTGGTTGAGCATCTGCTTTTGGCTCAGGGCGTGATCCCGGGTCCAGGGATCAAGTCCCGCATTGGGCTCCCTGCAGGGAGCCTGCTTCTCCCTCTGCCTATGTCTCTACCTCTCTTTCTGTGTCTCTCATGAATAAATAAAATCTTAAAAAATACATATAGGCAGACATAATATCCCTTCCAGAGGGCACATGAATTCCAGTTCCTCTGTTTGCAGATGTATTTCCAGTATTTGAAATTTGTTGGTGGTATTTGCCCATTGGGTAAAACAATTCTACTTATGGATGAGAAGTTAATCAATCATATCAAATACATAAAAGAGTATACAATTTTATTTGTATTTCTTATTTTCTTTCCAGTATGGTCAAAGCCCACTGAAAGCAGAAAGAATCCTTATAAAGTGCTTTGTAACACTGGACAGGGAGAACGAAACAGTCACTCATTGTAGTACAATAATACAATAAAATAATAATTAAAATAACAACATATAATAATAATAAAATGTGACTTTCAAGTACTAAGATGACAAAATAGGAAAAAATCTAATGCCTAATTTCTAGTTAGTTATATAGGGATTTTTGAATGATGTGAAATTTTGACATTTTTGAATAGTCATAGAAAAAAAACATAAAACAAACAAGAAAGAGAAGGCAATGTAAGAGAAATGCCAATGGCAAGAGCAGATCTAATCACATGTCAAGAAGATAAGCACACAAGTACACCAATCGTTCAGAACATACCTTTGTTCAGAAGAGGAAGGAAATCAGGTGCTTTTTCCCCAAAAACCCTTTGAGCATCCTCAGCTTTCATTGACACTTCCTTTGTCTGAACTAGGAAAAAGCCTTTACCAACCATCTGTGGAAAATAAAATTTCATTTAGATTTTTAAAATGAACTTCTGAGATTAAAACAATATATTTCTATTCTAGTATTTTTCTGTATAAAATATGACACAGCATGGTGATTTTTGTTTGAATCATCACTGTAATTCAAGGCGTTTGCTCTAACAAGTTTTCACATATACAAGATTTTTCCAGAAGGGTAGTTCTGGTTAAGAATTAGTGTGCAGTGCCTCATTTGTTTGGTGATACTTGTAAATGTCCAATAAGGAGAGAATGGTTAAGTAAGTAAACCAGGGTACATTCATAACATGATGAAATAGCATTGATCATTAAATATAACAAATCATAAAATGAAGAAAAGCTTATGCAATAATTTTGAAAAGCATGATACAAATGTATGTAGTATAGCACAATAGTGATAGACCACATTTACGGAGCCCTACTGTGTGCCAGGCAGTTTTATGCACTTTACATGTATAACACGTTTAACCCTCTCATGAGGTAGGTACTACTATTACCCTCATTTTACAGGTGAGAAAATGAAAGCACAGAATGGTAGAGAAACTTACTCAAGGTCACACAACTATCAAGTAACAGAATCGTGATTTAAACCCAGTTAATCTCATTATAGACAAAATAAATGAAAAATTATTTCTAAAAAGACTATTCAAGATATAGTATGTTATAGATGATTTATTTTGTTATGGATGATTTTTAAACTTATTTCTACTCTTCCTTATTTCTACAATTCTGTACAATAATAAGTACACATTAACTTTTAAAATAACAAAGAAAGTAGTTTTTAAAAATGCAAAGTATTCACTTAATTTTTTTTAGCAAAGCGTATTGGATTTTTCAGTATAAAAGTAACATATAGGGCACCTGGGTGGCTCAGTGGTTGAGCGTCTGCCTTTGGCTCAGGTTGTGGGATCGAGTCCCGCATCGGGCTCCCTGTGGGGAGCCTGCTTCTCCCTCTGCCTATGTCTCTGCCTCTCTCTGTGTGTCTCTCATGAATAAATAAAATCTTTTAAAACAAAATAAAAAAATTAAATAAATAAAAGTAACATATATGTTCAACACAAAACACTTGAAATGAAAAAATAGAAACAAATATACCCAATGCCATTAGGGTATACTTCCATTTACCCTCCCAGTTTTATTTTTCCCCCATTACAGAAATAACACATGTTCATTGTAAAATCCATATAACTACAAAAAAGAAAAGAAAATCCTGCTCTTAATCCAATTCCTAAGAATAACCATAACTGTTAACATTTTAGTATATATAACTTTCCAGACTTAGATCTCTTAAAAAAATTCAGATACTTATATAATATTCTACAAATTTTCACTTACTTGACTGTGAATATTTCTCAGCTATTTCACTATAAAATCAGTTTTAATGGCTGATAGTATTTCATCCTATGGCTATATTATCCCATACCATTCCATCAACTTGGATTCAAGCTCAAATCCTTTTTCAGAGCCCTCAATGCTGCCTCAGAAAAAAGAAACATACATAAAAAATAGCAGAAAATTGTATGAACATCATTGCCAGGTGATGACTGCAAAGTTACTTAAAATATCAGAAATAATCCTACATCTGTTCCTAATTTTCTAGATGGCTCAATACCTCTCATTTTATAGTCAGACACGTAAACTGACAAAAGATGATTAATTCAAAATACTGTTACCCAAAAACAAATAATAAATTACAAAACTTGATCTATTTTGATATCTCACTGTAGATATCTGGAGACTCATTTTTCATGAAAATTCTTCTACTTTGAAAGACCTGAAATAGCAGTAACTATCCAACTTTAATTATGCAATACACTACTTTCAAACAATTCAAATTACTTTTACTCTAATTTATCCTGTGGATGTCTGTGATGTAGCTAAGAGGAAGCAAGAAATCTGATTTAAAGTAAGGCCCAGTAACTTATCTTGATTCCCTTTGGAATGTGCTTTCTGGTTTATCCAGCTTTCCTGGACTTCCTATCTCAAAAAACTATTATAATACAGTTAATTTATAAAAAACAATGTGAAACAAAATTCTGTGATGCTCCTAGGGTTTAACAAAGCCAAAGTTAGCAATCACAGTTCTAGTCAAAGCTATCTTAAGGTATTTGGGTTATGATATGAGACTGAAGTTTTGTGTGGTTCTTTTTTTTTCATCTCAGAATGAAGTAGCTTCTACACATATTTTCCTGGAAACTTGAGCTTCATTTTTTGGAAAAAATATGTAATCTCTCCCTTAATATGTAAGCCAGTGATCTTTTAGCATGTTTTGATACCCTCTTCACATGTAGTTGGCATTTTCTTCTTTTGGTTCTCTTGTCATTCCTTAATTCTGTGCTTTCAAAGTTAGGTAGGGTAACTCCAACCAAGGGTTCCAGGGTTTTTCCTTGTAGGCTGAAGGGTAAATATCTGCCTTGACTCCCTACACTTTTGGTCACATTCCTGTTTCACCAGGAATTCTCAGCTTTCCTTTACCCCTGAGGTAGCAGATTAGCATCAAGCTTAAGGACTGAGACTATGGTCTATAAAGCCAGACTGCCTGGATTGAAGTCATGGCTCTGCTGTTTACAAGCTGAATGACCTTTTGCAAGTTACTTACCTTCTCTGTGGCTCATTTTCTGTATCTGTAAAAAGGGGGAATAAATGGCACCTATTTCACAGGTTATTCTAAATTAAGTGAGTTACTTCATTTAAATACCTTTAAATGGCAAACACTATATAAATGTTAGATATTATTATTGCTGTTGTTGCATTTTTGTTTTAAATTATCTTGTAATCCAGAAGGACATCTAAAGAACATCATTCTTCCTGGTCATATTGCTTTCAAGTGCACACAATGCTGCCATTTCACATATCAGCTACCAAAAGCTAAAAGGTTAAGAACATCTGATGACTCACGAAGGAAGACTGTTTTGATGTTATTTTCTTTAAATATGCTATTTTATTATTTATGTCTACTGCTCATTACCTACCAAAAAGGAGCTTAACCTGAATAATTACATTGTCTGAGAACTGTATGTAGATTTTTTTTAAGTCACCATACAGTATAATGAAAATGCTGACCTCTCAGATCTTGGATTAACATGAGATTAGATAGCTCAAAGGCCAGAAGTACTGTTTCTTTATCTTACCAGATTCACAGATTCATAGCATGTTTTTAGGAGATTTGGCATGAACAACAACAACAAAATCACAGTCTTAAAATTATACTTTGGCTTCTGTTGTTTTGAAAACTAGACTTCAGATATATTTTGTAGATTTCAGACATGGGTTTTCTATATTGAAGGATGTACAGCTACAGAGAGAAGGTCATTTAGTTTTTTCCCCCCTATAATCTTCAACAGAACTGTTACAATTTTGAAAAATCCATTAAAAAAAGGAGACTTGATGAATTCCCCATTCACTTCTTCATTTTTGGAACTTTGATTTTTAAATTTGAGGACTCCTTCTGAGGAACATCTGACTAACGGGGTAATCAATACATGCCACTGCTACCTCCCCACGGGAGCACCCACCAACACTAGGAACTGCTGCTTCTGCACCCCCTAATCTCTACATCCCCAGGTTATTTTTCAAGTGAAAGCTGCTACCAATAGAAGAATTCTTTTCCCAAACTCACTGAGTCCCTGCTCCTGAGCCCACAACCTTTGCTATCCCAGCTCCCATCTCCTTCTTACACACCAACCTCCCCTTTGCATAGCAAGAGGGCAAAGAAAAAATAATAGCAAGGTGGTTCTCATAGTCACCCCAGTGGCCAAAAGTTGTTCTCTTAAATGTCTTTCTTACTCCCCCCTCCAACCAATTAAAATCCAAATAAATATTCCCAACTAAATAAGATTGTGCTTTAGTATGCAGTACTACCTTTGTAAACTTCCATGGAAATCATTTATTATAAAGAATGGAAATTATCTGAGGGCAGAGAATTTTGCTTATGTGTCTCCATCTCCAGCATATACTCTAGTTGATCAGTTTTAAGTTGCCATCAATTGTAAGATGCATTTTGGATAAGCAAAAATGTGGAGAACAAATGTACATTCTATAATCAATGAAATAGGGTAATAGAAAATAACTTCACATAGTAAATGTTTAATAAATGCTTACTGAATTGAATGATATTTTTTAAAGTTTCTTTGAAAAGTCTTTTGAGGCCCAAGCAATCAGCTTATAGATAAATCTGCAGGGGGCAGAGGACTATAACTTAAGGACTGCCTGCATTTCTAATAGCGAGTTTGAAAAGAATGTAAGTTCTCCAGGAAGTGGTGTGTTTCTACCTAGGTATGTGTCTGTTTTTCCTCTCTCTCCTTACCTCATCAATTAGTTTTCTGGCATTTGCCATAGTATAATCACCAGCAAATAATACCACTAAGCATGATTCATCACTGCTCTTCTGTCTCTGACCCCGAGATACTGGAACAATACTTCTATTGGCTTCTGTGGAAACGCGGACAGCTTTGAGCTCTTCAGTGGTAGGTAGGGGAACATGGTCTTGAACTACAGTATCTTCTGGAAGAAGACTCCAGTTGAGTTCTCCTGACACAGGTGTAAAGTCATGAATGTTGCTCCAAGTATTATTGAAGATACTTAACGCCGCATCTTTGAACTGGAATGCTAATTCAGGGTAGTACCATTGGAAACAGCCAAACTTGATGTTTGTGGAAGACTCAATGATGGGTTGAGTGGCACAGCACAAAAAGACTTCCAGCTTTCTACAGTCCCTCACACGAAACTGTTGGCAGGCTAACGTGCACTTGCAATCTCTGCAATTCCGGAAAAACACACTGCCTTTCACAGGTCCCAGGAAAATTACACAGTTAGTACAGTCGTCGATAGTGATGGTAGCAGAGTGATCAAAAATGTAGATGTTACAGTTCTCACAGTCCTGAATGAGAAACTGTTGTCCTGCCACTTGGCCAGGTAGGCGACCCACTGTTTCATCCTTCAGTCCACTGAACATATAGTCTTTTGGATCAACCTGCAAGGACAAAATATGGGTCTTGAGTATTACTAACATTATTCAACAAATATTAGTCAAGTGTCTGCTGGGTGCCAGGCACAACTCCTGGTGCTAAAATAAGTTCCTACTTTCACCGACTTTGCAACATATTAAGAAAATGAACAGCACAAATTATTTTTTCCAATAATTAAAAGGCATGAGGGGAACAAAGGGAGAGGAGACTATTATAAAGAGACTCAGGACATACCAACCAAACAATGAATATTGTTTGGATCCTGTTTCAACATATCAACTATAGAAACTTTTTTGAAATGACTGAGGAAATTCTCACGCACACAGCATTTTGGATGATATTGAAGAATATTTCAGCTCTGACCCTTTTTCTTTTTCTGATGCTTCACTTTTTTGTTTTTATTTTTTTACTCAAGTATAATTAAAAGACAGTGCTATTAGTTTCAGGTGTACAATACAGTCATTCAACAATTCCATGCATCACCCAGTGCTCATCACAAGTGCACTCTTCAATCCCCATCACCTATTTCACCCCACTCAACCACTTCCCCTCTGGTAACCTCCAATTTATTCTCTATATTTAAGAGTCTGGTCTTTTGTCTGTCTTTTTTGTTTGTTCATTTGTGTTGTTTCTTAAATTCCATGAGTGAAGATTTAAAACAACTGCTTCTTAAAAAACTTCTGAAATTGGAAATACACTCACATTGAAATATATTTCTCTATTTTTCAATACTGACACATAGGTCTTAGTTTCTAAACTCTGACTGATTTCTGTAATATGCTACGGAAAATGGAAGAACCTGAAGGTACAAAAATCACTATATGGCATAACTTCCATCTGCAAGTTAGATTCAAATATTTATTGAGTCTTTCCTACAATGGAAATTCTTGAAACGCCACCATTCCTATCTTTTGATATTCTAAACTAAAGCACACACAACCTTTTATTCAGTATGCCTGGAATTTGTCATAGTATATATTTAAAAATTCTACTGACCTCTAAGAGTCACAAAAGGCCATTTTGATTTTTCTAAATTACTTTTGAGTCCACTTTCACTGTTTTACCTCTTTGCAAATATTAAATTTCATGCAAAACTATCGATGTAACCAGAAACAGACTCCCATACAGTGGTAAAATTTTGATGATTCACAAAGGATAATTTAATCATCTCAATCATTACCAAGCTAAAAGTGACTTATTCAGTATTGCACAGTAAGTGTTGTTCTTATCTACTTTTACATAATGTACTAGAAGGAGTACTGATCTGTAGCACGAGGCAATAAAAGAGGCACTTTGTTTCCCAATCTTAATTTTGTCATCTATGAGCAACATGATCTTGGAAAAGGCACTTTAACTTTCCAGCTCATCAGTCATTCAACCAAAATTTGAACACTCAATATGAGCCAGGTATCCTTTTAGGCACTAACATGAGTATGACCAGCTCTTCCTATAAAAAAGTAAACACTAACCTAAACAGATGATTTAAAAACAACTTGGTTGTGCAATGCAAGATGCCTAGAATATTCTGGAAACACAGATGAGGGACATCTGGGATAGGGGAAGTAGGGGTGTAAGACTTCATTAACAAAGTGAGAACGAACAAGTTGGAGTTCATCACATAAAACAGGCAGGAGTATAGGATCTTCCCTTCCCACATCAGGCCAAAGTGAAAGAATTAACAAAATAAAATTTTTCAGAGAATGTGAAGAAAACTGAAAGTGGTTTGGTGGTTACCAGTGACACTGGTATGGGAGCAGATGAAGCTAGAGAGATAGGTAGGGGCCATACTATAAAGTTTAGAAGTTATCCATGGGCAATAGAGTACCACAGGAGGATTTTACTTTATTTTTTAAAGATTTTACTTATTTATTTATGAGAGACACACAGAGAGAGGCAGAGGGAGAAGCAGGCTCCCTGCAGGAGCCTGATGTGGGACTTTTTTAAAAAAAGATTTTATTTATTTATTCATGAGACAGAGAGAGAGAGAGAGAGAGAGAGAGAGAGAGAGAGAGAGGCAGAGACACAGGCAGAGGGAGAAGCAGGCTCCATGCAGGGAGCCCGACGTGGGACTCGATCCCGGGTCTCCAGGATCACGCCCTGGGCTGAAGGCAGTGCTAAACCGCTGAGCCACCTGGGCTGCCCCTGATGTGGGACTTTATCCCAGAATATCAGGATCATGCCCTGAGCCAAAGGCAGATGCTCAATCACTGAGCCACCCAGGTGTCCCACCACAGGAGGATTTTAAATAAGAAAAATTTACATTTCAGGAAGATTACTCTGATAAGAATAAGGAGGTACAGCATGGATCTGAGACTTGCACTTATCCAGAAAGGCCTGGAAGTAGAGCAATGGTTAGGAGGGAAGAAGAAGATGGGATAAATTTGAGAAATACTGAAGAAGTAGAATCAGTCAATTTGGTAATTCAATGGCTGTAGGAAGGAAGGCAGAAGGATGGATCCAAAATGATTCCTAGTTCTCTGGTCTGTGTTTTTCGACTTTTTTTTAGACCATAACCCACATTAGTAGATTCTTCAGCACAGCCCAGCACACTTACTTTTATTTGTGCATGTACACATACCAAAGCAATGAAAGCTTCACAAATAATGCTTACTTGAATTTTGTGTTAAGCTCCCTAATATTTTCTAGTATCCCACCAATGGGTTTGAAAAAATACTGCTCTGGTCTATGTCGCTGGATGTTAGTAGTGCCATACACCAGAAAAAGTGAAAAATACAGGAGGCAACACAGGTTTAATGTAGAAAGAAGTGTCCAAACAATTCTATTTCTAGGATTTTACAGGTGATGCGTGTACATAAAGTACAGGTATGCCTGAGTGGCTCAGTCAGCTGGGTGTTCGACTCTCAGTTTTGGCTCAGGTCGAGATCTCATGGGTTGTGAGACTGAGCCCTGCAGCAGGCTCCGTGCTCAGTGCTGAGTCTGCTTGAAGATTCTCTCCCTCTGCCCACCCCCTCAAATAAATAGATACATCTCTAAAAAAAAAAGAGTACAGTATTCCAGTTTGGTCTCTACCAAGAAACTGAACTTGCATAGTTGCTGGTTCCCTATTGCCCAAAGTCAACCCCACAGGGACCAAGTAAGGAAAACATCAAGAAAAGGGGAAACTAAGAGAAGTCCCTGTGGTGGAGTGTGGGGGGATAAAATAGAAAAGTAACCCTCATAACGGGCAGATTAAAATCTAAGCAGTATCTTCTCATGCTGCTTCTCTCAACTACTGATCGGTCAAGTGACCAAAAAAATTAAGTCAACAAGAATATCTAAGATCTGAACCACACAATGAGAATAAGCTTGAGTTCTGCATCCAACAAGAAGAGTGTACTCATGATTTTCTTAAGGATGCACTCAAGCTTTTTTTAAAAAAATCATGTACTAGATCAGAAAGCCTAAACAAATTTTAAATAAGAGATAACTTACAGACTGTGATATGGGACTGACATGTAATTAAAAGTTAATAACAAAAGATAATTTTAAGAATTCTTGCCTACTTGAAAATTTTAAAAAACATACTGCTAAATAACCTATGGGTCAAATTAGAAATCATAATCAAATCTAAAATACTTAGAATTAAATGTTAAGGCACCACATTTGGGATGCAGCAAAGCTCTGAAGGAAATGTATAACCTTGAGCAGCTATAATAAAAACACTCAAAAATTAATTAGTTAAATGTCCATCTTAAGAAATTAAACAATAAATAAGCTTAGAGAAAGTAGGAGAAAAAAGATAAATAGTAGAAATTAACGACTTAGGTGTTAAATATATAATAGAAAACATCAGCAAAGCCAAAAATATGGGGTTGGGGGGGACAAAAAATAAGCAAACTTCTGGCAAGAATGATCAAGGAAAGAAGAATGAAACACAAACAGTATGAATGAAAGGGGGAATGAATATCACCATAAACAAACGTTAAGAAGAGAATAGTATCAACGCCTATATGCCAACAAGTTTTAAGAGATTGTGGGCTATGAAGTGAACAAATCTCTTAAATAACTTATCACAACTGACTCCAGAGCAATTTAAAAGCTTAAATAAAATGCTACTGCTACTAAAGAAATAGAAGCAGTGGGCTAAGTGTTCCCCCAAAGAAAGACACCAGGCCCAGATGGTTTTATAAACAGATTCCAATTTTATTTATCCCAGGTTTATGCAGACCCTTAAAGACAACAGAAAAAGAAGGAACAGTCCTAACTCATGCTATTAGCCTGCTCAGCAAGACCCTAGTAAGAAAAACAAAGACACAACAAAAAAGAAAAGTTTAGGTTCATTTCATTCACGTCTATAGATGGGGGAAAAAAACCCTGCAAATTAAATCAATCCTATAAAAGGAGAAAGCACGACAACCAAGTTGGATTTATCACAAGTCAAGTAAAAATGGTTCAGTATTAGAAAAATCTTTCATAGGGGAAAGGAGAGAAAATGGGTGGGAAATATCAGAGAGGGTGAGAGAACATGAGAGACTCCTAACTCTGGGAAATGAACAAGGGGTAGTGGAAAGGGAGGTGGGTAGGGGGATGGGGTGACTGGGTGACGGGCACTGAGGGGGGCACTTGACGGGATGAGCACTGGGTGTTATACTATATGTTGGTAAATCAAACTCCAATAAAAAAATCTTTCATGTAAGTCACTATTATGTGATAACTTATATTTCATTCCTAATTCCTATTGATCTCTTATGAAAACCTTATTCCTCAATAGATCTGAAGCACTTGCTGTGACTTGTCTATATCCTCTGATTCTCCTTTGCTCAGACAACCTTCTCTGCTTGTCTACCTGTCAAACTTTCCTCAACCAGAAGCCTGCTCTCCCTTTCTGGAGTATCTATATTGTATTAAATACCAGTCCATGTCCCTTCCTGTACAGTGATCTTTGGGCTAGAATCCTGTAACCAATCTATTAAAAACTGAAACACCTCCTCCAATACCACTTCTTTACCCTTCTTTATTTTTCTCCAAAGCACTTGGCTTCCTTTTTAATGCACTACATATGAAT